AACTAATTTATTAATTGGTGAACGAGGAAAAAGTACATATGAAGAAAATGCTCAAAGTAATAAAAAAAGTATCACCACCTTATTTGCAGTAAATGCCAGCGGAACCTTTGCTCCATCATTAACAATTTTTATATATGTTCGTCTTCCAAATAGAATTATAAATACTGCTCCATCCGGATGGGTTATTGGAAAAAGTGAAAATGCTTGCATGACTGCAGAATGTTTTTTTGAGTATATTACAAACATTTTTCATCCAATTTTGATAAAAGAAGAAATTCCTTTACCAGTTATTTTTTTTTTTTTGATATCATGCGTCACATTTTTTTATCGAACTTAGTGAGTTTTGCTCTAAAAATGGAATAATTTTTGTTGCTTTGTTCCCAAATGCAACACATATTTTGTAGCCGCTCGATGTGGCAGTTTTTGGGCCAATGAAAGCAAAGTGGAAATCTTTTTGGCGCATCGACAATGGCGCATTGACCATTAAGGACAAAAAATAAACAATGAAAGTGTACCAGAATTAAATTCATTTATAATCGATCCTTCTATGGCAAATAATGTTAAAAGTGCTTTTAAAAATACCGGAATATTTCTATTTGATGCTAATAGTGTGGACTACACAAAAATTGTTCAAAGATTATCTGAGTCAACTGTGGCTCCAACTCCTTATTTAGAAGAGAATCAATCAAGTGTGACTTTATCCGCTTCCTCTCCAATAAACTTTATTAAAAAAATGCATTGATCCAAGTATTTCAGAGCAGTTTAAAATAGCTAACGAACATTTAGGTTGGAAAGGTGATCTTGAATTACTCCAGCTGTATCCTTTTTGGAAAAGAGCCTTATCTGAAACATATAAGACCACAATTTTACCTGATGAAATACAACAGAGTAATAAAATCTATCAACAACTTGTAATTTAGAAAATGTGCAAGTTAAAACCGGTATGGAAATGCTTGATTGTAATATTGTAGCGGTAATAGAACCAAAACCAGCTTGTTCTAGTTTAAAAAAAGCAGCAGAAATCATAAATCCAATTAAAAGTGTTTTAATATGGCCAAAACCACCAGTCCAAACGTCCAAGCGCAAAATAGAACGTTTACCATCGGTTGTAACATTTAAAACGTGGCAGCAAATTCAAAAGACAAAATTGCAAGAAAAGTCACAATTAAATGATGAAAAATTAAAAAAGAGACAATTAGCTGCAGATAAAAAGTCAAAAAAAGAGGAAGAAAGATTAAGAAAGAAACAAAAAGCTATGGAGAAAAAGTTATTAAATGAAAAAACTAAAAAAGAAAGAGAAAACCTGAAAATTTTGAAAAAGAATAAGAAAGTTGCAAAAGAAAAAGTAAGCTTTGAAACTGAGTCAGAAAACGAGTTCCATTGTTAACAATAATTACAATATAAGACTCGGATAATTATGATGAAATTCTATCCTTTCCAGTTTAAAAGATTTGTACTAAAGTAATAGAAATGCTTTAAAAATCTTTAGTTTTAATTCAAAATAATATTTTCATTACTATATAATTAGTGTTTATTTAATAGTCTTTTTTTTTTTAATTTATATACCTAAAAACGTTTAATAAAATGTTACTAATGCATTAAATTTTCATTTGAAACCGCGAGCGCATTATAAACAAGTCACTAAAGCAGATTTTAAGATATACGATTTTAAGATATACGATAAGTGTCAACAATATATACGATAAGTGTGAAACACTTACGATCAGTATGGAAAACTGCGCTTTAAAAGTTTGATCAAAATAAGTACATTATTGATTTAAATTTCAGAGTGAGAATAATTTTAAACTAACCCTTACTACATTGATGGCTGCAAAAATTCATTTCTAATAAATTATTATACATATTATAATAACTTTTGTTATATATAAACTCACGGTAAGTGTGGAAAGGAACCTAAACTTTTTATTCAAGAAAAAAAAAAGGAATTTTTTTTTTTCAATTGAATTTTTATTCTCAAAGAAAAAAGAATAAATGTAAGCTAAAATGTTGTCACCACCATAGATTATAAAAAATAAATGGAAGCAAAAATGTTGTCATCACCATGGGTTATAAAAAATAAATGGAAGCAAAAATGTTGTCATCACCATGGGTTATAAAAAATAAATGGAAGCTAAAATGTTGTCACCACCATGGGTTATAAAAAATAAATGGAAGCAAAAATGTTGTCAACACCATGTTATAAGAGGCGATAGGTTCCAATGAATTTATAAAACCTTTAGCTTCGATTAAAACACAATGCTTCAATAAAGCCTTCGTCTTGAAAAACCATGTTTATTTTTAAAAGCAATCCAATCGATTAGGCTAAATTCAGAGTTGATAATGTCTCTTTCAAAACAAAGTAACTTTCTGCCGAAAAGCCGACTTTTCTGGGAGGCGGATGCTGTTGAGGGTGGCCTTCCATTCAGTTTCTAGCGGCAAAATGTACTTTCTTCTGCCTCCTGTAGCTTCTGCCCATCTGTTAGCGGCCGCAGCCAGAGTT